AGAAGAAGAAGAAGAAGAAGAAGAAGAAGAAGAAGAAGAAGATGACGAGCGAGGCAGTTTTTTTTTTTTTTTTTCCTTACCTGTCATTTATCTCGCGACCTATCGCTAATGAATGTAAAAAAAAAGAAAAAAAAGAAGACAGTCGGAAGAGGACGACGACGAGAGATGAAGAAGAAGAAGAAGAAGAAGATGAGAGGGGGAGGAGGAGGAGGAGTGAACAAGTCGTGGAAGAAGAAAAGCAGAAGTATAAGACGAGGAGGAGGAGGAGGAGGAGGAGGAGGAGGAGGAGGAGGAGGAAGAGGAAGAGGAAGAAGAGGAAGAAGAGGAAGAGGAGGAAGAAGAGAGAGAGGAAGAGGAAGAAGAGGAAGAAGAGGAAGAAGAGGAAGAGGAAGAAGAAGAAGAAGAGGAAGAGGAGGAAGAAGAAGAAGAAGAAGAAGAAGAAGAAGAAGAAGAAGAAGAAGAAGTAGGAGAAGAAGAAGAAGAAGAAGAAGAAGACCGGCACTCCACGTCGATGGGCGGCAGGGGATGTCGACAGGCAGGAGCACCACGATCGACGACGCTGACGACTGGCGATGGGCGAACGACGACGACGGGCAAGTGAAGCTCCCAGGCGATGGTGACGAGGGCAGCTACTTCGACGAGGGGAAGCAGCACAAACGCAGGCGGCTGGAGCAGCTATCGAGGCCCCGTTTGGACAGCCAATGCAGGCCGCCCCAGCCAGTGGCTAGTTCAAACGGGGCCTCCGTTTCCCTCCAAAAACGAACGGCCCTCTGGCCGTCGATCATGGATGATCGACGGCCAGAGGGCCATCCCAAATTCAAAAAAAAAAAACAGGCCTCACAGGCCCGACGTGCCGTTTTCTCGGCGTGGTCGGACCCGGTAGGCCCTGGGGAGGCCAAAACCACCCGATGTGGGGTTGGAAACCCCCCGCCAACAAGGTGTGCGGGGGGTGCCCGGCCCCCAACCGGGCCGCCCGCCCTGCCAGGCCGCCCGGGACCTCCCCCGGGTGGGCGCCGGTCGGCCGGGCGGCCCGGATCCGTACTCAACTATGTACTTGTTTTGCGCTGTGTACTCGTATTCGAACATGCGCTATGTACCTGTTTTGCGCTGTGTACTCGTATTCGAACATGCGCTATGTACTTGTTTTCAAACATGCGCTATGTACTTGTTTTCGAACATGCGCTATGTACTTGTTTTCAAACATGCGCTGTGTACTTGTTTTTGAACATGCGATGTGTACGTGTGTTCAAACATGCGATGTATACTTGTATTCAAACATGTGCCGTGTACTTGTATTCGAACATGCGCTGTGTACTTGTATTCGAACATGCGCTGTGTACTTGTATTCGAACATGCGCTGTGTCCTTGTACTCGAACATGCGCCAGTCACGCAATGGCAAATAGCGAGTAGAGCCTTCGCGCCCACCCACAAAACGAAGGGGGAAAAAAACACATGATGCGACGACCCTGAGAGGAGCCGCGCTCCACACAGCCGCCATGTGCCCAGCACAGAAAAGGGTCTCGCTGGACCTGCGTTTCCTTTATAAGAGTAAGGGAAGAGGTATAATTCTTTCACCTGCTAACCCCCCTATCGTGGATTTGCTCTCGTTTGTATCTAGCGAAGTTGTTTCTGATTATATCGTCTTTGTTAGTGGCATGTTCGATTTTGATTTCGTTTTTCCCCCCCATGATCTTCTGACTTTTGTTTCGATGGCCCGTTGTTCTTTTTTTTTTTTTTTTTTTTTTTTTTTTACAAAAAAGAGCATCTCATTTCATTACCAAAGAAGAAGGGAGGCCGGTAACTCCACAAAAAAAAATGGAAGCCCGTTTGGTTTCTCTCAGCATACTCTCCAGTTGTGTTTTTGTGTCCTTGAAAGTGGCTACGCATCTACGCTTCCATAAGGCCCCTAGAGTCTCTTTTTGGACCATCCTGAACAGGCTTTCAGCAAATTTTGAAAATTTGACCAGTTGAGGTCCACCTGCCGGAAATGTTCCTGGGTTTTTATTTAAACCACCAGTACCTTTCTCAGCTATCGATGCCATGCCTAAAACTGCCCTGCGCGTCAAAAAAGAAGGAACCGGTGCGGGCCTCGTTTTTGCTGGCTCCACCAGCCATTTCGCGCCTGTAGTCCCGAGTCTGCCCGCCTCCCGTGTTGACCGGTGGGCATTTGTTTTCCAGGCAGGGAAAGGTACTGGTGGCTGAAACCACCAGTAAGTTTCCCAGCCATTTTTTCAGAGATACTGTGTACATGCTGCCGTGTTGGTCTGGATGTGCCGTTTCACTGGACATTCACCCAGGCAAAACGGGGCTCGAATGCGACCGATTTTGCCTGGGTGGATGTGCAGCGAAACAACACACTGGTAGATTGCGCTCGACATGGAGTGTATGCACGCAGCGTCTGTGAAAAAATGACTGGGAAACATACTGGTGGTTTTAACCACCAGCACCTACCGGTTGGTGCGGCCGTTAACGCAGTAGCTGAACCGGTTTGCCCCTCAGGTCCATATTCGTTCGACCCTTGGCGACCCTTGGCGGTACGAAAAATGCGCTAGTCTTTGCTCTATAAGCCCATGAACTGCCATTTCGTCGAAACAGCGATTTTTTTTTTCATTCAACAAAAAAACTGGGCTTTGCTGAAAAGCCCCAAAATAGCCTGATATTCTGAGGGTGCAGCAAAGGTCTCCCTTAAATAATAATAATAATAAAAAAATCAAATCAAATTATCCAATTATCAAATGTATCTGCACAGTATGTCCAGCTAGAATCCACTAGATCCAATTCTGTTTCAGTTTTTTTTTGGTGGGGGCAGGCTTGACATCTTGGGACGCCGGACCCTCTTGGGCTTTTTTTAGGCAACAAGTGGACCTGCCACAGCGACGCTGCCGCGATGGGGAAAGAGGGGGGGGGGGGGCAAGGAGAAGGCGGTGGAGGAGGAGAAGTGGGAGGCGGAAGAAAGAGTGAACACGACTCGCCGTCCTTCCGCCCTCTCAGTCATCCCCGCAGCTTTCTTCCCCCTCCACTTCCTCCAGCCCCCATTGCCCCGACTCCCCACCCGCAGACAGGTGTGTGTGAGAGAGAGCGCCGTGCTCGAGCGCACACACGAGAGAGAGAGAGAGAGAGAGAGAGAGAGAGAGAGAGAGAGAGAGAGAGAGAGAGAGAGAGAGAGAGAGAGAGAGAGTCCGCATCCACCCCTCCTCAGCCCCACCCCTTTCCTCCCTTCCCTCCTTCTGCTTTTCCCACCAGCATCCCGCATGTTTGTTAGCCGCTGCTTCTCCTGCTCCTCCTCCCACTCCTGCTCCTCCTCCCGCTCCTGCTCCTCCTCCTGCTCCTCCTCCTGCTCCTCCTCCTGCTCCTCCTCCACCCGCTCCTCATCCCTGTTACATGCTGCGCCTGCACACGAGGGCCATTTTCCAGGCCCTGCGTCCCTCAGGCTGAAAGCCTGAAAACCAGGGCCTACAGGCCCCGTGGCTGTTCAGCCCGAAAGCCTGAAAAATAGGGGCCTACAGACCCTGTGTCGTTTCAGACTAAAAATGGCAATAGCCTTTTTAGCCTGAAACGAAGGGCCATTTCCGGTCCTTCATCAGAATGACCGGCCCTGAAACTCAGGCACCGAACCAGGGTTTCGGGAACAGGCTATTCTTAGCCTGTTCCCACGCCAGCCTCAGCAGATGCTGCAGCGCCAGCCCCTGGCACACTTCGGCATTGGCAAGAGCAGCCTCCTCGGCCTGGCTCACCCTGCAGGCAGTTAGGAGGCAGGCCGAGGTAGTACATAGGGACTTTCCCATGCACGTCACGGGTAGGCAGGAGGCAGTCAGTAGTCTTCAGGATTCGGCAGCAGCACTCTGGAGGGAGCGCTGCAGGAGTAGTAGTAGCGTTAGCCTTAGTCTTCAGCGCTGGGCGCAGCTGGTAGCTGTAGTCTCCAGCGCTGGGCGCCATAGCTAGGATAGCACTAGAGAGAGAGAGAGAGAGAGATTGGGCGGAGGCCAGAGACACTTACCTGCAGCGCCGTTGCTCCAGCTTCGTCTTCGAGGTACCTGCAGCACAGCGCCAACTTCACAGGTTAGTACCTGACTTGTAACAGAGAGAGAGAGAGTTCTTCTTCTTCCTCTTCTCAGTCTGCCATCTCCCTCTCACCCTCTCATCATCTGACTTCACTGCATCAGCAGACTACGAGAGAAGAGAGAGAGAGCTGGGTGACATTGGATCCAGACTCGACTTTTGGCTTCAGACATTGCAACAAGGGATTATTTGGGACTTGTGACAAAGACTTGGTGTTGACGACATTCCCATCTCTCCCTCTCCTCTTCGTTTGATCCCCTCCTCTTCGTCTGTGTATGTCTGGACCTGGTGCTTCCTTCCCGTGTAGAGCGCCAGGCTCCTTCACACCTTGTGATGGATACAATGTATGTTTGATCTGCGTTTAAACATTGATTGGGCTAGTCATTAGCATTCTAGCATTCTGCTTCGCTATCTGATACTATGTGAATGAGGTCAGTCCCGGTCAGGTCAGGATTTGTATCTAAGTCTTCCCTGCGCTATTCAGCACCATTTTGTATGTATCGGAATGCACATTGCTTGTTGAGACTCTACTTGCACTGCATTGTCCATTCAGTCCTTTTCATCACATTGCGGATCCTCGGTTTCTATGTACATCGCCCAACTGGGCATGTAACATCCTGCTCCTCCTCCAGCTCCTTCTCCGTTCCTTCTCCCGCAACTCCTGCTTCTCCTCCACGCCTCCTCCTCCCGGTCCTCCTCCTGGGCTTCCTCCCATAATTCCTCCATGCGCTCGTTAACTCCCACTCCCCATTTCCTGCCGCTCCTTCTCCTGCTACTCCTCCTGCTGCTCCTCCTCCCCGCGGTCCTCCTCCCGCTCCTCCTCCCGCTCCTTCTCCCCCTCCTCCGCCCGCTCCTTCTCCCGCGCCTTCTCCCACACCTCCTGCTCCTCCTCTTCTGCTCCCTCTCCTCCTCCCTCTCCTCCTCCCGCTCCTCCTCCCGTCCTCCTCCCGCTCCTTCTCCTGCTGCGTCTCCTGCCGCCTTTTTCTTTTTTTTCCCCAATCAATCAATCAATCAATCGATTGATTGAAAACAAAAACAAAACATGAGAACGGGCCGATACCCGCCCGAGTTTTCTAAACAGAAAACGAAAAATCATTCAATCAGTCAATCAATCAATCAATTTATCAATTTATCAATTGAATTTATTGATTGATTGATTTATTGATCGGCTGTGTGTGTGTGTGTGTGTGTGTGTGTGTGTGTGTGTGTGTGTGTGTGT